GATAGAAAGCAGCTTTCCTCTGAAGTATTAGAAGTATTTTCTGGCCTGCTGTTTTAATCTTCCTGACAGCAGTATATTTATGCTTGTTTCTCCCTGTCCCATAAACCATTATTTTTACAATGAGAAGACATCTGTTTGGGATCAAACAAAAACATTGCGTGTTATATAATTGCACCTAAGTGCAAAGTACTGTGAGGACTTTTACCATGTTGAAGTAGGACTGTTCTGACAAGGCTGTTGTACTGGTCAGACCCTGGATAACAGTTTCTGATGAAGATCCTGTAATTTCTCTTCGGGCCTCATATATGTTCTATTTCTTTTTAGCACCTATTTTGTGGTGTTGTGACCTCTGAGCTTTCAACATGCCTCAGTGGTTTGTGTTGGTAGTAACTGCTGCATAGGATGGAGAGGCTGGAATTACTCTGTGTACTCCTGATTTGAGCTCAGGATGGTATTGGGGAAGTTTAGTTCTGATGGTAGTTGGTGCCAGAAGCTTCTGGACAAAGTAGCAGAGAAACCAAATATAATAAACTACTGAGGGGCAATACGTTTAATTTTGGAATATGAATGGTTATTTGATGCTTGGCACCAAGAAAGCTTTTTGTCCTGGAGAGGAGTTGCATTCCGTTTTGACTTCCTCTTCTAGCTGAAGGTGAAAAGTAGTCTGGAATTAATGGGATTGATTTTTCTTGTCTATTCTCCTTTTGCTGTTTCTCTGTATGATATGAGCTAACTTAACAAAAATATTAGTGACACTGCGGTAGATGTGATCCCCAGTGGAACACTTAATGCCAACATTTAGACAACTCTGGTGTTGCTTCACTGAGATGAATGGTGAAATAGGGCACATCTGAGGTAACGCTCTGTGGATTGCATTACAGTCCTCCTCATCTTTATGTAACAACTTCTGAAGCTTGCATGTTACATTAGACATATAGCTCTTTTTATACCTGGTCCTTGCACATAACACTGGAGCTGATGTAGGTATGCTTTCTACTTCAAACAATCAATAATGAAAGTGGAAAAAAAGTATTATTGTATCCCTGAAAAGTCATTCATAGCAGCTTCTAACTAGTTGAAGAGCACCGCCAGTAGTGTTTGGCAAACTGGTTTTGGAGGAGCCAGGTCCTGTTTGCTCACACAAGCCTGTTCAAGTGATGTGATGTATCTGAAATCATTTTTTGGTAACTTTTGTACCAATGTTTTGGGTGAAGGTGATATTTTTACCTGGGTGCTCATAGATCCTGTAGTATTTTAAAATACATATGTACGCACTTGAAATACCTGTAGAGGAGGTGGATGGAGAGAGGAAATACTATGCATATTACAGGGCACTTTTCAGTCAGCTAAGACAGACATGGAAGCAGACCTGATTACAATTGGAGTCCTGTCCAAACACCTCTGTTGTTCTCTTGTCACTTGGTAAAGTACAAATGCATTTCTGCAGACACTTTAGGGAGTGCCCTAAATGCTGCCTTGTCTAGGAGATGAAAGTGGGTTTGAATCAGTGTTTCCAGTATCTGCTGAATTTACCCTACATAATGGTTTTTAATTCCCTTTCTTTAAATCTTATTACAGCTGCCAGGTACTGCAGCATGTTGATTGAAGAAGGTGGTTTACAGCACTTATACAACATCAAGGAAAACGTCCAGACTGATCCACACGTCCAAAGGATTGCTATTGCCATCCTAGATAGTTTGGAAAAACACATTATGCGTCATGGGAGACCACCGCCCTGTAGAAAACAACCACAGAACAAACCAAACTGAATGCTGCAGGTATAGGAGTGTAAAGTATTGTCTCTGTAATAATCCTTTCTGATGTGTGTGTAGTTGGAGTAACTTGTAACACTGTGGTCACCATTAAAGTGATTTGCCAATAATTGTGGTACCCAGAGCCGTGTACGGTAACCATTGGTGAACATCAACTTTAATGGCAACCACATATGCAACATGTAAAGGGTCACTGCTTGAGCTGGTCACACCTCTAGGATTACTGCTGGCTACAAAGACAGGGACTTGTACAGATCTGGAAAAAAGACTTCTAGGAATACCTTCTTTTGTGACCTCTGGGAGAGAAAGTTATTTCATCCCTATGATTGCTCTTCATAACACTGTTTACCAGTTTGGTGTTTGAATAGAACTGTGTGTGGTTGTGAGATTCAACACTTTTACACATTAAAACAAAGGTACGTGCATGCAGGTTACAAGAGACTTCTAACTAAGGCGACCAAAATGTCCATTGTCTCATAACCCTTCTAAACACAAGTAGGGTCTTCAACTTCCTTTTCCTTTTGCCTGCAAGCTGTGTTCTTTTAAAGGTTTCCTAACTGCTAGAACAATGCCTCTTTGCAGTTCAGCAGTCCCAAGCCCCCCCTGCTCTTATTAAGGTGAGGACCGGCGTTGCATCAGGGAAAGGGGAAACCTGCTAAAGTAAAGCAATAGAAACAGGATTAAAATGAGACAATACTGAAAGAATGAGGTAAGCTTGAGATTTTAAATTTGATAACAAGAAGGAGGTTTTGTTGTTGTTTGCTTTTGGTTGTGTGTGATATCTTTTGTTTTCGGAACACTGATAGGGAAAGGAGAAGGCTCACTAGAGCAAAATACTGACTTGTCTTCATCGTGAAGGGGCTCCATGTCTTCATAAGAGGCCCAGGATATTTGGTCACCTTATTTATAGGACTAATGATTGCTCTGTTTTCTGTAAATATTCTGTCAGTATTGTGCAGTGAATTATATTTCCAAGTCATCACAATGCAAAATACCACCCAATGTTCTGTGTAAGCCCTGTGTCAATTGCTTTTTGTGGAGTGTGTGATTTTACATAAAGATGCTAATTGTAACAACTTCTTTCTTTCTACGGGTTTCAGTGATGTGTTGAATGAAACATATTGCACAGCATACAAATGCCTGATAAAATGCAAGTGATGGAAGCAAACTGCATGTCCATTCAAATTCAGTTTAATTTCAGGTATTGTTTTTGTTTATCTGGTTAGTCTCCATGTTTCCATGGCAACTGACTGATATTCAGAGACACTTCTGTAAATACATTAGTAATGAATTGAAAAGAAAACATGTTTGGTAGTTTATTTGCAGGGATGGCTGCTTCATGATGACCATTATTTTGGTATTTTTAACTCCTTCCTTCTCCCAACCCCCATCCTTCAAATAAAAACATCACCTCTAATCTTCAATAATCTAGTTATTGTGTATTTCAGTAACTTCTAAAGGTACTGATCCAGTAATTTAATCAATGTTGTGGAACTGCTTTTTGTATGAAAGTATAATTTGGCCTGCGTAATTTTCATGTGTGTATCTGGTTATATACAATTTTCTTCATTTGGTTGTATGAAGGTGGTTTAAAAAATGATATTGGGCCTGCAAGCCTTTACCTACCACCCTTCTGAGCTGTCTGCTATAAGACTTCTGCTATGAACTTTCCGTTACATGAAATGGCACACAAAACTTGTCAAAATTGGTGTTAATAGAATGAAAATAAATCAATTGCTACAAGATTTTAAAATAAAGATGACAACTCTCCTTACAGTATTGTTTTTTTCCTAGTAACAGGAGAACTTGCTGAAACATCTTAACTAAAACTGTGTGTGTGTGTGTGTGTGTGTGTCGAGGGAAGTCGACACACACTACTACTCGATGCAGCTCAATATGAATGTGATACAGTCTCAGTCAGATGGTGAAGCTGCCACTTCATGAAGTTCTGCAACCAGCAAGTACAGAGATTGTAAATAATTTTCCATACCCTTGTTGTTTTGTTCCCCCATACTTCAAGCAGTGAACAGAATTCTCTTAAGCTGAAAAGTATGTATAAATCCACTAAACTGACCTGCAGTTACAGAAAGATCTCTTCACGTTCCTGTGCAGCCTTTAGGATCCTGCCAGGATAGGGTAATCCTGGAAGTGACTTTTAAATTCTCACATTTCACCTGTGGCATTTGACATCTTTTTTTTTGAAGGCTGAAGGCCCTGACTTTGCTTTACCTTTGCAGATCTTTACATAGGCAGCTTGCATATGAATATTCTTGTAAGGTTACCTTAACCACAGAATTGCTGGGTTAACTTTTGGCACAAGGGAAATTGTGTTTTGGTTTGAGACTGACAGAATAGTTAGGGTTGGAAAGCACCTTAAGATCATCCAGTTCCAACCCCCCTGCTATGGGCAGGGACACCTCACACTAAACCATATCACCCAAGGCTCTGTCCAACCTGGCCTTGAACACCACCAGGGATGGAGCATTCACAGCCTCCCTGGGCAAGAAGGCATACCAGGAAGTGATGCCCAGTTCCAGTGTGCTAAGCTACTTCTTATCAAGTATATATTTGATTGATACACTAAAAATATATGTCCCTAGCTCTACCAATTCACTTTTGCTTGAAAGCTCCAGTCTAGGGAAGTGAGAAGCTGTAGAGCTGAACTGTGCGGCATGTCTCAGTGCTGGAGAATCTCTAAGCAGGAGAAAGTAACTTCAACTTCCAATCAGGCAACAGAGGAACCAGGTGATGGGAAGAGTGGTGACATGCCTATGATGCCTGGCATAGAGTGATTTGGTGGCCATATATACACACACACACATATATATATATATATACAAAGTCATGCATTTTCCCAATCACTGATACCAAAGAGACCCAAGGTCAGCTGCCTGGAGTGGTAGCAGAGTAATGCTCTACAGTATTCACAACAGAGCTGTGATAAACCACCATTGCTCTGTGTTAATATAGCTTGTTCTGTCTGATTAGTTGGAAGACCACTGATAATGAATGGGAAGGGGCTTTAGGAAGGTTTTTTTTTCCCCCTGTAAGTTAACTCTCTTCAGAGTAATTTTTTCTCCTGTCAGTGTTTAGATGGACCATGTTTCAGTATTTTCTTTTCATCCTTTTTAATTTGCTTACAGTGAGCCAAAACTTCTCCTTTCTCCTTCCTTGACATCTGTTTGAGAGCCCTAACCACCGCCTTAAGAGGTATGCACTTTAAAAAGGTCAGCTGTACAAAGTTAATGCTTTATTTGGGAATTCTTACAGCAAAGTGATCCAGTGGAGTATTCAAAAATGCAGTCCAAGGCAAGGAACTAAGTACACAGAATGCAATCATAAAAATAATCCTAAGAAATCCGTGGGTCCTCTTCAGCTCTCCTTTACTTTCAAAGGACCAAGGGGAAGCTAGGAAATGTTATTTGCCAATAAACTGAGGTGGTCGTTTCTCCCTGAAGGCAGCCATCCCCTCCTGCCGGTCTCTTGTGGGAATGTTCTGCATGTAAGGAAAAAAAGGTACGTTTTTCATGGATGAGTCCGATGTGTTTTATGTACTGATTAATTTGGCAGTAGTAGTCTAAGACTGCTTTTCCTTCAGTGATATATTAACTGATACCTTTCATGTTTTGCAGTTAGGTGAATAAGAGACTGGGTTGTAGTGCGTAAATCACAAGCAAAGCACCTAAGACAAAGGCCGTAGACCAGAGAACTAAAGAGGAAAACAAGTTTTCCATAAGTTTAACACTTTACTATCTTAAAATACACTGAGAGGCATAACAGTTATATTGTTCCATTAGAAGAGAAAGGTGCATGCTCTGAGAACTTGTCAAAAAGAGTGACTACAGGAGCAGTCTGGATTTAGTTTAAAACCATTTGTAAGACTCATCCTGTAATTAACATTGGTGAAGCCAAGACCACGCAGTTACTTCAGACAAAAGAGTATTTAAGGAAGGACTGTGGTCTCAGGCAGGCAGAGAGAAGCGGCTATGCATGACACAGCAATTAATACTCCAAAATAGAGATCTGGAACTGCATTCAAGTATGGTCTCAAGAGTTTTAGATTTAGCTGTTAGTGCTCCCTTATGGAGAGGAAAATAGAAGATGATGATGTCAAGAGCTGGCTTTAGGAAATACACATTTGTTCCTTTCAGGAATGCATTATGAAGGTAACCAACCTACCTGGGCATAGCACATCCCCTCAATAGCCATCCCTGATGCAATGTCAACCTGGGCATGAGAGGGAAGGAGTGAGTTCTGGCTGAAGCATCACCCTAAAACCACTCCATAACCCTCAAATCAATAACCATTCTCTCCTAGTGAGGGACCTTCACTCCTGTATTAGAACAACAGTGTTAACATCTGTCTAAAAGGAAAATTCTGCCACATTAATTTTGTTTTTAAAGAAAAAAAAAGTCTTAAGTTAAAACACCTGGAAAGGTTTTCAATGTCTTGTCAAGGTATGGATTATAACTCATCTGTCTCCTCATTCACCTCAGTATTGAAAGAAAAAAGTTACCTCCATTCCTCTGTTTATTGCCAGTTTTCCCATTTTCACAGCAAATGGAGCCTTTATTGAAAACAAGACAAAAAGCAGTCAACTAAACCAAACCACAGCAAACACTTAAAAATAAAGCCACATCCATTCATAATAGTGTAGCTGCTGCATTGTTTTCCTAGCACCAAAGGACCTTTTTGCACAGAGAAGTTTGCAGTAAGTTGGTAAGTATTTTTAAGAACCAATTTGGTGTTATGTGCAGTTAACAGATGTACACAGTGCAAGTTGTCAGTGTGCTCTGCAGCTTTGCATAACCACAACTGGGAGGTGAAACTGTCCTGTGGGTTAAGCAGCTGGATGTTAATGCTTGTTCCTACAGAAACTGCATTTACAAAAAGGACAGAGTTAAAAGACCTGCAGGAATCAAGGCTCTCATATTTCACAGAACTGAATTTCAGTTGTTTGCTCTCTCTCAAAGGAAACAGAACTGCCTTTACACTGACTACAGGTACAATGCACTGACCTGAGGAAGGATTTCTCTAGCCAAAGTCAATGCTCTCTGGTAAGCTGCATCTCCTTCATTGTTTTGTGGCACAGTGTGATTTACTAATCCAATTGAGGCAGCTTGCTGTCCATCAATCTGTCTACCAGTGAAGATAAGTTCCTTTGCAAGACCTATTCCAACACATCTGGGCAGGCGCTGGGTTCCACCTTACAACAAGAGCAAAAAACACCATTGTCCATTTCTCAGAAACACCCCAAACCAAAGGTATTTTGTCTTCTTACATAACAAGGTTTGTGTTTAAGAACTGCTAGCTGAATATATCAATGTTTTGCAAGGCATCTGAAAAGCTTGAGCATCTCTGAGTATTGTGATAAACAGGAAAAAGTAAATGGACTTTCCTAAATTCATAGCAAGTCCAAGACAGGGCTTGGAACAGAACTCTTTGTTGACAGATCTTTTGGGTCACTATAAGATGCTGCTTCTAATTTACAGTCAAAACACAAGTGCTCTAATGGTAAAATACTGACTATATGGCTGAGAAAGTTAAGAGACTGAAGACTCAATGAAGGTTACCTGCTCCAGGAAGAAGCCCCCTTGTGGTCTCAATAAGGCCCATTTTAGCTGATGAAGCTGTTAAAAAAAATAGAGGGTTTAGATACTTCTTGATTTTTGTAACTACAGATTTTCCACAGTGAACTGATTAATGAAAATACAAACTGCAAATACTGAGCTGGAACTACTTCTGCAGGAAGCTGGAAAGTCTGAACACTACAGTATTTATCAACAGCCTCCTCGAGTCAGCTGAGGGATGTGTAGGATTGGCTACTTACCCCTAATGTAGCCATTTGATCTAGAAAAATGAACCTTGGGTCCATTCTAGATGAAAAAATGGAAGATGGAAGAATGGAAACAAAAGAACAAGTCTTCCACCTGAGACTGATTTAAGTAGGGAAGGTTAGATCTAGCCACAGTGCTGATGCAGTATTACATGATAATAACTATTTAATTCTACCAAGAAGTAGTTCTCTGAAATAATCCTAATTTTGTCTAAAACTAGGCTTTACTTTTTTAAGCAAGGAAACTGCTTTCCCATTAGTAACTGAATGTCACAGGTTTGGGACAAACATCTCTTCATTTCCTGAACTGTGCAAGTTCCTCTCTCTGGATTCCATCACCAATCAGCTATCACTTGTGCAAGGTCTCTTTAAAATACAGTCACCAAACACAAGAAGATTCCTGTATTGAGCAACACACAAACCTGCTACTCGAAGGTCACAAGCTAACGCCAGTTCTAGTCCACCACCCAGTGCATAGCCATCTATTGCAGCAATTGTGGGTACAGGCAGGGCCGCTGCAGAAGAGAACACAGATTATACAGTTTTGTTCCAGAAGTTCTGTTCCATTCACGTTGGGAATTTCAGTGCTTAAATGCTAAAGCTTTTAGGAGTTCTCAGATTCAGAATGGCTCAAGAATTCCTATTCTGCCACAAGACTTCTGACTGTCTCTAAATGGTAGGAACTGTCTTTATGTACTTCTCCCTTCTTTATGAGAAGAATGCAAAACATTCTTCTTGCATGTGAAGAAGCATGCAAATACAAACACTGCAGCACAAAACAGGATGAATTGTCTCCTTGCAAATGCATGGTGTGACTATCCAGCTGTTGCAGTTAAACAGACATCATTCCTGATCACTGTTACAAGGATTAGCCTTTCTGCTGCTTTCCTTAGGCGAGAGGCTCCTGAACTTGGTAAACACTGTTATCACCTGAGGAGCCTGAGGTACATGGAGATTAGCTGCTTGATAAGAGACCTTTTAAAATACTCAGGGAGCTGGAAGCAGACTTCAGGCATGCTGAACATACAGTTCCATGCTGTAACTATCCCTGCACCCCCAACTGCTTCTCTGGTCTGAGAGACGGGGTCATTCTCTCTACACCATTGTTTGTTTTTTAATCAATGCAATTCTTATTGTTATTTTAGCCAGATTTCACTTTGGTGTTCCTCCCTAGTGAGAGCAGAGTAAGGCAGAAATAGGGGCAGAAAATCAATTGCAGAAGTCCATACTTCTTTCGGGGGGGGGGGGGGAAGAGGTGGGGAGGAGGGCTATAGCTACAAAACCTCTGACATTTGGCAAATCCATCCAGAGATCCAAAATATGTTCTTAGGTCACTGCCATATGATGAGTACTTCTGAGCATGTACTGAAATTGGGACAAACAACAGAGCTCATTTCATCTAGCATTGTCTCCCAAGAAATATACAGAACTGCATATAGTATCCTTTGTTGTAGCAGATGCTATATTCATGTGTGTGTGCTACTCTTAATCATGGATAAGGCATCCTGTGTTTGGAGTGGCATCAGGATAGTTGGTATTTAAGTCTAGTATGATCTTTGTTTCTTGCATAAGCTGGAGCCATTTGGGAAAGCTACTCCTAAGTGGGTAACTTGCTGGGCCTAGCATCCTTCCCCTCCTGGAGCATTCCTAAATGTCTCGCTACAGGCAGTCAAGGACAAATTTCCTGAGATAATTACCTATTTCATCCATGAGATTCCTCAGCCTTTTAACAAAATGCCCAACTTCTGCATCATCCATCTGCGCACGTTCCTTTAAGTCTGCACCTAAACAGAGGACTAAAGGTTAGAATCCAGGAACAGGGAAAAGACACATGAATTGCCTTCCCTCCTGTCTCTCTTGGGGCACAGACCATTTCAGAAGTCACAATACAGTGTTCTGGTTAAGTAATGTCAGTGGAGGTTGCAGTGGGGCCATTTGGGCTGGAGCAGTGGCTAGGCTGCTCTTCTGTGCCCTTTGAACGGATTTCAGAGAGCACAAATCACTGTATGTAACAATGATAATCCACAGAACTGGAAACCAAAGACTCCCAATACCAGAGGTACCCGTACTTGAAGACAGTTATAAATGAAAAACAAAGAGTAGCTCCATTTGTGCAGCTCACTCCATCACATCTTCATCACCAAAGCAAGCCAAGAGGCAGAAAGAGAGAACAATGTTTGGTATTTGCTACACAAAACCAGCCTGTTCTTCTGTCATGCATTTCCAACTGCTTTCCTGCACGATCTGATCAGCACACAGCCCTAAGAGGCATCAACATCTGTAAGCCTGCAGAACCTTTGTCACTTACCAGCACAAAAGACACCTTTCACCTCGCTCTTGAACACCACCACACGAACCTTCTCATCCAAGCGGAGCTGTTCCAGAGCGCTGAACAGCTATGAGAGAGGGAGTATGAACAAGAGAAGAAAAATCTGTCAGCATTTCAATCTCTGTACCTGAATTACAGCAAGATCCTAATCTGTGATAAAAATTCTTTTTCTCCCCCTGCAGGGGCCAGGAATTTCCTGGAAATCATGTACATGGAGCCAGGAGAATCCTTCCACGACACCCTCAGAATGAGATGTTTCTACATCTCTTTCATCCATTCAAAGATGAACCTTTCCTGTACCTTAAACTCCCCTGTAATTATGCAAGTAAGGACACTAACTTGAGTTAGCTAACTAAAATAACTCCAGTTATTAGTTAATAATGCATTGTATGTTGATAGTACAGTATCAACATGCATGACCTCTTCACGCTAACCTGCCCCAAGGCACTCTCCCACTCTTCAGCAAAAGATCAAGTTTTTGTTTCAGATTTCCCACTACTGTTCTTACTGCAGTTAGTTACTGATCATGATTCCAAACACGTTCACAGGCCAGGCCCATACTCACTTCATTTACAAATACTTTTCCCAATGAATTTCTCGCGTGGGGTCGGTTCATTAGGATTTCAGCAATACCTTAGTAATAGGAGACAATTTCAGTTATACTTCATTTAAGTTCTCTGATACAGTAATTCAACTGGGAACAATATCTGCATGTGCTGCATCTTCTCTTTCCTGAAAACGCATATAAAGTGTACTCTAAACCAGTTACTTAAAAGTGGATGTGGTAGACCATGTCTCTGGAACCCAGTTATGCAGGACAGCTGTGAAATGCAGCAGCACTGTGAATAATATAAATAAATAAAGCAGACTTTTAAAAAGAAAATGACACCTCAGTATGTATGTGTTAGAATCATTGCAGGGAGAGAAAAAAAAACCCAACCCAAAACCAGCAAACCCAAATGATCCATCTTAGGTTTCTGTTTCAAATGCAACTAAATTCAGGTTTTCTTGCTCAGTCTTCAGGCGCTGAGGCGCTGGCACAGGGTGCCCAGAGAAGCTGTGGCTGCCCCACCCCTGGCAGTGTTCAAGGTTGGACACAGGGGCTTGGAGCAAGCTGCTCTAGTGGAAGGTGTCCCTGCCCGTGACAGGGGTTGGAACTGGATGAGCTTTAAGGTCCCTTCCAACCCAAACCAGTCTGGAATTCTATGACTAATTACAGAAGTCATCCTCCTGGGATTTCTGTTTGAATGAGAGCAGCACAAACTGGTCACCCTCACTTCATGCTTCAGAACCATTTTGAAATTGCAGCTCCATTTAATTTCAATTTAGAAGCTCATCATTGAAAGGACTTCACTCAAAGTTCCTAAGTCCAAGCAGAAAACTGAGACCACAACATCCACCTACTTCTCCTTGCTCTTGTGTTTTGTAAATCATTATCCAATGTTTTCTGTATGCTTTGGCAGGAAAAAACCTCTCCTGTTTCCTTGTCTGGGCTTCTGCTTGTTTCCCAGGCTTTAACGTTGGCAGGTGCTGTTGCTGCTGCTGCAGGTGCACGGATGCTCCTCACATCTGCCACACTTGCTCCTTGTGCCCTGCTGGGAGGTGTGTGTCTGTTTCTCTGCCTGTGCCAGTGGCCAGTCAGTGAACATGTCACATAGGAACAGACACAGGTAACAGGCACCCGCAAACAATGGAAACTCACCATTCCAGTAACTACATCCATGTGTATGCAAAGCTACCAGGAAGTGTTCACAAGCTCTTGCAGCAGTTGCCCTTATCATAACCTAATTCCAGTGGCAACCTGCACCAAAACTCAAATTACTGCTTAGTGTCCCATGCAGAGACATGCCCTGGTCCTACCCTACCTTTAGCACTGTGCAGCACTGAGTCCAGAAGAAACTAAGGTGTGCAACCCAGGACTTCTTGTATCAGTATCTCCTGCATATATAACTTTTTAAAATGGATCTAGTTATTTATGTGGCAGCTGTGTCCTTGAAAAGCTTCAAGGCACAACCTGAAGCAAAGATACCGTAAGCACCCTGCCTGCTATGGACCCTGTGGGGCGTCGGTCACCTGCTGGGTACGAGGGACAGCTCGAGTGCGGCCGGGGCCCGCTGCAGGAGCCGGGGACACGCGGTACCACCAGCGCCGGGCCTGGAGCTGGTGTGTTTCGGCCAGGAACCGGTCCAACGAAGCACACCGACGCGCTCCTCCCTCCCTCCCGCAGCACCACGGAACCGGCCTTGCCGCACTCAGCACTGGGGGCAAAGGAGCGCCGGGGCCTGCCCGCGTTCCCCGGGGCGCAGGTGGGGCGGGTCCCGCCGCACTCACCGCTGCTCTCCCCGCCGGCCGCGCTCACCAGCACCTCCGCGCCCCGCCGCGGGGCGGCCCCGCCATGGCCCCACCGCAGCAGCTCGCGTCCCGCCCGGCCCAGCCACATCATGGCTCCGGGATCCCCAGCCCGCGGGGACAGGCCTCGGGGGACCATGGGCCGGGGCACTGCGCTTTTAAGGAGGAGGGGCGGGAGGGGCGGTGGCTTCACGCCTCCCGGGCCTTCACCCCGCCCCTTCGCTCTGGGTTCCCGGTGGGTTAGCTGGGCTGTCAGCGGTGCCGCCGCCGGAGGGGAGCGGGCGCAGGGGCTCCGCCGCCATCATGGTGCATCGGCGGGTGTTCGTGGTGGGCGTTGGCATGACCAAGGTACGGGACTGCCTGCGCCGTCCCCGGTGAGGCGGCGAGGGAGGGCACGGCGGGGCCTGGCGCCATTGCCTGTGCCTGTGAGGGTGTGTGAGGGTGGGGGGGGGGGGGGGGATCGGCCCGAGCAGGTCTGGTCCCCTTTGGACGTCCCCGCTTCGCGCGTCCCCTGTGGTGTACGGCGCCGGCCTGGGCCTGCCGATCGGGCCTGGGCCGCAGCGGCTCCGAGCAGAGTTCACCTTCGGTTGGTGAGAGCTGACCCAGCGGCCAAGTTAAACATTAAGAAGCTCCGCTGGGAAAGTGAGTGTAACAGCGGGCAGGGTGGGTGCCGTGTCACTACAGCCTCTGGCCAAGGGCTTGGCCCGGTGTTTTGAAGGGCCCGAAGGTGAAGGGCTCCGGGGAACTGGCAGCAGCAGAGCAGGTGCCCTGCAGATGCTGTGGTGGGGACTGACGCGAAGTCTGACTGACACCGCTAATTTGGTGGCCAACAGCACACACAGCGCGGCTCCTCTACAGCTACCTCAAAGGAGGGTGTAGTGAGGTGGATGTGGGTCTCTTCTCCCAGGTATCCAGTGATGGGATAAGAAGTGGTCCCAAGTTGCACCAGGGGAGGTTTAGATTGGATATTAAGAGAAATTCCTTCCCCAAGGGGTGCTCAGGCATTGGAACAGGCTGGCCAGGGCAGTGCTGGAGTCACCGTCCCTGGAGGTACTGGAAAGACATGTAGCTGTGGCACTTAGAGGGGTGATAAACTCATATATTGCTTAAACTCACTTGTGATATGCTCAAAGAGGGGACCGCAGTGTGGAAGACACAACTAAAACTTGTCAGACACCAAACTGCATCTTAACTGTTCTATCATGAAGTCCTTTAGAATAGTTAGGGTTGGAAAGGACCTTAAGATCATCCAATTCCAACCCCTGCCATGGGCAGGGACACCTCACACTAAACTCTGTCACCCAAGGCTCTGTCCAGCCTGGCCTTGAACACCGCCAGGGATGGAGCATTCACAACCTCCCTGGGCAACCCATTCCAGTGCCTCAGCACTCTCTTTTTTAATCTTAATGATGTAATGTCTTCCAAAGATGAGCATACCTTCTCAAAACAACAGTCTGTGCTTCCTGCGTGTGTAATTGTCAGTCCCGCACACTGTGCCTCGCAGTTTTCTGAGTGGATCATCATCTCAGTTACCAGCTTAGTGAGAAGTTGTCAGTACTCTTTTTCCCTCTTTATTAGCCCAGATAGTGTCAATTGCTCTTACAGACTTTTACAGTCATCAGTTCACTGATGTGACCTTCAGCACGAAGGTTCTCTGTCTAAATTAAGGAAATGAGGCACTACAGAAAGTACAGCTAAGTGTTGTGAACGGCTGGAGCTGGTGAGGAGTTAGTGTATTGCCTTTTATATACTAACAGTGAAGGCTGAATAATGTGTAGAACTACAAGATGTTAGTATGAGGTGGGGTATTTTAGCAGCGACACCTTTTGTGAGTGATGTAAAAATGCACAGTGTATATTTGTTGGTGGTTTCTAATGAGTCTTACTACAAAGAAAATAGAAATAGCACCTCTCTGGTGAGAGGTAAGGTGTGACAGGATTTGTAACAAAGGGGAATAAGGCTCAAGAAAGGGAGGCTTATATAGAATTAAGTTCCATACAAAACCCAAGCATTTTTGTGTTACAAATAGGAGGATAACAGAATAAAGTGGAAAGGAAATACTTACCAAAGCCTTAGTGAAGATTATGTCTTGTGTTACAATGAATCAGTGAGGATGACAGTTATTCTCTGTCCCACCCAAAGGCTTTGGACAGGGTTACTGTATATCTGCATTTAAATCATGGATCTTCTTTAACACTGAGCAAAGGTGGTCCTGAGTACTATTTTCTGTTGTTAGCCATCACAGGGTAAGAACAGGGCCTGTCAGTAGCACTTTGGAATTGTGCAGGTTTTGTGCATGTGCTTTTGGGTCAATTAAATGAAATTGGTTATTTAAAGCTGATTGTTCACAAACCTATTTCTAAGTTAAATATAAAGCTTTAAATATACCAGTTGGAGCAAAAGAGCTATTAAATCTCACTGTATTTTGTTCTTGTGTGGTTTCTTGTTTGTTTTCCTTGTTTTTTCTCATCAGTTTGCAAAGCCTAGTGAGAGCATGGATTATCCTGACATGGCAAAGGAGGCAGGTAATTTAATAATGAAGCATTTAGTTTGATTGCTGACAGTTATTTGAAGTCTGACAGTATTTTTGTTATACATATGAGGGAATACTGCTGTTCAGTAAATAGATATGTATTAAAAGCAAATCTAAAACTGATAAAAACCTCACAAAATCCATACCTGACCTGTTCAATTCACTGCCTGCCCGTGCTGAAGTCAGAAGGACAGCTTAAAATTGACTGGGACATTTATCTTAAGTGTCCTGTATTATTACCTGTATTATTACCTATATCCTGTCGATATTCTTCAAATGTACTTTCACTGGGACAGACTGTGCATGAACACAGATGCATGAAATTTTCTGATAGAGGAGCTTGTTCAGAGCTCAAAACACTGCAAAATTGTCTTTATGAGAACTAAAATGCAAGATTATGTTAACCATCTGCATCGTATAATAAGTAATTTTTACAGCTATCTCTTTTTCTTGTTGGTGAATGCATGAATACTCTAGGTCTGCTTAGGGTACTCTAGGTCTGCTTGTTCTGGTTGTGAAAGATGGCTTTGGTGGTTTTCTTCAACTTTTAACTTCTTTTCAACTCTTGAACTTTTTTTAGGCCAAAAGGCTTTAGCTGATGCTGGGATTCATTACTCAGAAGTGGAGCAAGCATGTGTGGGTTATGTTTATGGTAAGCAGTGTCATTTGGTTGAGATGTGACCTTTGCAGACATCTTTGTAGATAAAGCTTGTCCACATCTGTGTGGATAAAGTGTGGGGGATCCCATCCATTTCAGGTTCTATTTAATTGTGTAGAACTGTCTCAGACTTTTAAAGAATCTATTATTTTTAATGGTCACAGATCTATGTCTGTGTATGTATGGAGTTTACAGCTGTAGTCATTGGTGTGGAAAGACTTACATGAAGTTGTGTCTTGCGAGTATGTTTGATGCAAGTAACTTTCAGCAAGATCAGGTTGTGTATTTATTCAGGTGGTGCAAGCCTTACCTATGACAATGTGTATGGCAGTGGACTTAAAAAGTTGTTTATTCTCTGTGTGATGCTGTGTGCACACTGGAGTGGACATGCTTGTTTGTCCACTGCCCTGGACTTGCTAGGGGGTATTTTGGAGATCAAAACTGTAATGTGTCCTTGCACTTTCAGCCCAAGAACACAACAGAGGTATGTGCTTGGACTCAACTCGTGATAGATGAGATTACTCTGAAAGAGGTTCACAGCCTTTTCAATTGTATGGACATATATAGAAAGATAGCCATGATTGAATGTATTGTATAAGACTATTGAAGCACATGCATTAGCGTGGCTCCAGAATAATGCTTTGCAGCTAAAGCAGCCAAAACCAACACAACCCTCCAGTTTTCTAGTAGACACTCTTAGCAGAAGCTTTTAACTTGCAGTTACTGCTTAATGTAGTGAAAGGAGATGGTGTTAAGTGACTGGTTTGAACGTTTTCTTGCTACTCCAGCACATAGATGCCTGGTGTATTTCTCAAAGCAGTCAGATTTCTATTAGAGGAAATTTATTTCCATTCCAGAGTTTTCTGTTTACTTTCTTCCTGTTTCTCTGTTAATAACTGTATTAGGACATTAGTAGGGTCAGTCAGCTGGGATACTTCTAGCAGCTTCCAAGCCACACCTGTGAGATGTTTCTGTCCTGTCCAGTTACCTTCCATTTATTCACAGCCTGTTATCACAGAAGCAGGACTAATTTATGCTTATAAAATATGATGATTTTCATCTTGTTTCTAAGGTTCTTGTACAATGGATACTTGGGAGATACTCAAGATGTTCATGTTTACTGTTGAAGTATTAGCATTGCACACACATGGTTGGATTTTGTTTTGCTAGTCAAGTTTGCATATGTAGCTTATTTTAACGTTGTGTCCATGCATAAAGGTGATTCGACCTGTGGACAACGGGCAATCTATCATAGTTTGGGTTTGACTGGCATTCCTATCATTAATGTTAACAACAACTGCGCTACTGGATCAACTGCTTTGTTCATGGCCAGACAACTAGTAGAAGGAGGTGAGTTGTTTTGTTCTGGGGCTGGGTAATACATATCCTCTATTTCTATAAATATAACTTGAATGAAGAATGGAACTAGTGAATGTGCAAGTACTCCGAGTTGTACGTGTACTGTCCTCAGGCAAAATGGTGTTTTCTGCCTCACTCAGCTGAAAAGGTTGATCACTTATATATATGCAAATATGTGACCAAAAACTTAAAAGAGCAAGGCTATCACTAGAACATCATGTGTGCACATAAGAGACTATGTCAGTGATGCAGTAAGATGGTGTGTATGGATAGAAATGTTCTTTCCTCTGTCAGAAGCTGCATGAACCTAGTGAGTAGGAAGCCAGGTAAGTTTTTCCTGGAAGAATTGTCTGGAGCAGTGCAGAAGCAGTTGCATTATAGACATTAGACTCTGTAGGATGAAAAGGAGAAAAGAATCTGTTAAAAAGCTTGGCTTTTACTTCTTTTTTTAACTTGAAGTTAACATCAGTATTTGACCAATGCATTTTTTTGGAAGGGAAGGGAAGAGAGCAATGCCTTGTGACAGACCATGCTTTGAACTGACAGATGAGTCTTTCCTTCTGTTTCTGCAGTTCCTTTGTGGACTTTTGATACTTTCTT